CTGACTCCAAGCGCAGTGCTCTATTCACTCTGCCACTTCATAGTCTCATTACCTTATATTCTTCTTATAATCAGAATAACTTACATTTTCATATCCGGTGCCTAGGACTGTGCCTGGCATACAATATATGTTTAATAAATTCTTGTTGCCTGATTTGATATATCACTTTAAAATAGACCAAACACTTTCTTCCGATAATGCAGGTATTGTCACCATCATAAGGAACCAGCTCTCCAAGGGGTTAAGTGGCCATGAAACAAGTGAGAGTTGGAGCTAGAACTTAAATTCAGGTGTCTAGATCATTCTCTAGTTGGTAGTCAGGTGGTGTAGTGGATAGAGAGGTGGACCTGGAGTCAGGGTGACCAAATCCACCTTCAGACACTTCCTAGCTGTGTGATCCTGGGCAAGTCACTTAACCTCTATTTGCCTCAGTTTCCTCATTTGTAAAAGAGGTATAATAATAGCACCTACCTCCACCGGTGTTGTGAGGGTCAAATGAGATGATATTTGTAAGGTACTTCACAAGCCTTAAATGCTAGAAAATAATAATTAGTATACTAATAATTATTAATAAATCCTAGGTATTATTATCACCAAGTCCAATGCTTTCACAATTACATTGTCTCTAAGGTATAGCCCTAATGATCTGAGCTGTTACTAGAAGGCAAAGGTTCTTCATTCATTCATTCATTCATTCATTCAAAAAATGTTTAAATACCTTCTCTATTCCAAGTACCATGAAAGTTCAACAATAAATAAGCCACAGTGGCTGTCCTCAAAGAGCTAGCAACTAGGAGAAGGGCTAAGACATGCACATGAGTGTGATACAGGATAAAATAAGGTAAGTGCTCAAAAGTTATGGAGAAAATACTGTGAAAGCTCATAAAAGGGAAGGATCTCCCAATGGGATGGATCATAGAATGCTTCATGGAGGAAGGAGAAATTGACCTTGACCTTGAAATTTGCACAGGATTTTAGCAAGCTAAGAGGATATTGCTGATGGTTTGGTGATGGGTCATTAACTCCCAAGAGGTGCAGACTTAGGAAACTTGGCAAGTTCAGTTTATGCAAAATACTGTGTTTTTACAGGCTTTTATGGTAGTAATAACATTTACATTGCTTGTGGTGGTGGTGGCGGTGGTGGTGGGATGTCTGAAGAATTTTCTCCACAGTCATCTCTTTCATATCTCATAGTAACCTTAGGGAGGTCTAAAACAATAAAGAATGTAGAGTCCTGAATCTGAAGATCTGGGTTCAAATTCCAGCTTTTCTATTTAATATCCAGGTGACCTTGGACAAGTCACTTAACCTCTGTTTCCTCTTCTGTAAGACAAGGTGGTTGGACTAGATCACCTCTAAGCTCCTTTTCTGCTCTAAATCTATGATCCCATGTTGATTTTTCTCATTTTATTCATGGGTGGTGGTGGGGTTACTGTCTGCAGAAATTAAATGACTTAGCCAAGGTCACATAATAACCAGCTGGGCTAGAACCTAGAACTTTTTATACCAGCTAGAGGAGTGGGTGGAGGAGAATACACAATCAGCTTAATTGAGCTGGCAGAAATATCCCCAATGGTTTATTTACTTTGTTGATAGAAGGACATTTCATCTTTTCCCTTTCTCCCCCCCCCCCCTTTTTTTCCTTTCTGATTTCCAGTTGGATGGTGAAAAATTCCATCAAGATTTCCAGCTCTGTGGTCTCTGCCTGGCATTTTATCTTCTACCACTTTGGCATATCTACATATACCCCTCTCTACAGAATTGGTACCAGGGTGAGGCAAGATAGATTGTGGTTTTCTAGGTTCCCCAAAGCGTAGGAGCAGTGAGGGACACTTTCAAAATATTCTTTATATAAATGCCTGTGTTTTCAGTACCAGAAAATTTTGCTCTCTATGGCACACATTTATTTGAGGGCAAGTCATGTTGTGGCCACGCAGGACTATAATATTCCAACCTTGCTAATGATCCACAAGTGACTTGTCCTGGCCATGCTCCACTGAGGATTTAGGGATGGCGGATTCTGCAGCAGGAACACAATCCATTTTTATCTAAGCTAGTCCCTCTCTCTTTTCTCTAAGCTTGAATTATGGAACCTCAGGTCTGGAATGGAGACTGAGACATTATTCCATTTATCCCTTGACTAGGTAGGTAGCCCTTAATCTCAACCTTCTGACATGAATGAGAATCTTGTCTGTTTATAGCTCCAAGAAAGGAACTCTCCTAGTGTAAATATCTATTTCCTTGTCACAATCCTTCCCTGCCCCCCAAATTCTCCTTTTAGAGTATATTTGAGACTCAGTGCTCATGAAGCCCAGCCCTACTCATTTTACAGATAAAAAAACAGGCCCAGAGATATAAAAAAAGGAACTTAATTCAACTCCACTGATTTCTAGTTCAATGCCCTTAACAATTTTTTTTATTGATGCTCTTTTTTCTTTTATTACTATCTCTTCCCAATGATTCCTCTTACCCCTAACAGGACGCTTCCTTGTAACAAATAAGTACAATCAAACAAAACAAATCAATACGTTACCCATATCTGGAAATGTACGCCTTATTCTCACCCATATTCCATCATTTCTCTGTCAAGAGGTTGGAAGCATGTTTCACCATCATCAGGCCTCTGAAGTCAAGCTTGGCTACTGAATTGGTCAGAGTTCTGAATTTTGTCATTGTTGTTTGCCTTTACATTACAGTGACCATCTCATAAATTGCTCTCCTGGTTCTCCCTAGTTTGCTCTACATTTGGTCGTATGAGTTTTTCCCCAAGTTTCTTTGAATTCATATTTGTCATTTCTTATGGTGCAATAATATTCCACAATTTGAACATTCATCAGTTGATGGGAACTCACCTCCCTTTTAGTTCTTTGCTATCAGAAAAAAAAATGCTATATAAATATATAGATAAATATTGTTTATTGTATTGTATATTGTATATAAATAAATAAAATATAAAAATATATATGTATATAAATACTTCTGTCTATATGAAATTTCCTCTCTCTATTTGACCCTTTCGGAGTACACACTTGTAGTGGTATCCTCCCTCCAGGACCCTTCCCACTATACAATGCTGCTTCTCTTTGGATGCTGTTTAAGCATGGTTTCTCTTATTATTCTCTCAGTAGAGATGGAGAAGAGTTGGCTTCTGTCCCGACTAATAAATCTTCATAGATTCTTTCTGCATCTCCCCACACCCAACCTCTAGGATTAACTATACACAGGGCCACCAAACCCCTAGGATTAACTACAGACAGGGCTGTTATCCTTTGTATCCACTGTCCTTTACCTCAGATAGCAGAAAGAGGATTGGAGAAACATAAGCCTTTTTAATGCTTAATGGAGAGAGGGGGCAGATGGCAATCACAGGCAGTTTTAGATAACAATTTCTTGTACCCTAGGTATTAGAGACATTTTTACTTCTGGAGGGATTTCTGAGTGTATATCCAAAACTAGTAATTTGTGAGTATGTTGTACTGTCCCTGAAAACAAAAGGATACATCCCAGTAGAACCAGTAGAAATAAAACCAGATGTTTTATACTTTTCTATTTTGAAGGAGGCAGAAGCAGTGGCCTGAACTCTTGGATACAGTGCTAAGGGACTTTGCATCTTGGGATTTAACTTGGCCAGCCTTGGAGAGGTCATTCTGCCATGCTTTGCTTGTGAATGAAGAGTAGATGAGGGAAGAGGACAGAGAAAACCCTGAGTTTTAGTTCCAATTGACTTGCAATGATGGTGATGTCAGAAGTGGCCACACTGAGGACACTAATTTGTTGTTGACAGTAAGCATTACTCAAGGAATGTTTCTTGATTGAAGGAAAGAACGATCCTATGTATAGGACGTTGCTTTCTTACCTGATGATTTTATGTCAGGGCACTGAAAAGTTTGGGGTGGTTTTTTTTAATCCCTTAGTTCTCTTTCTTTCCCTTTCCTCTTCCTTCCCTTCCTTCTTTCCTCCCCCTTCTCTCTGTATTTTTTTTTCTCTCTGCCTGCCTCTTTCTCCTCTTGTCCCCTTCCCTACCCCATGTTTCTTTCTCTGTTTCTTCTTTAAGTTAAGACTTTCTGTGCAGAACACCCTTATTTCCTGGTAGGTTTAAATTCATATGGCAGCACCAAAAATCAAAGCCTAAGCAGGGTCATAAATTGATCTAAAGCTTTCCTGTACCCCCATCCTGTTTATTCATGCATGCTAAAGCCCTTCTGCCAATGATGGGTCATGGAATATCTGCAGACAGAAAGAATGACATAGAGAAAGAGACAGATGGTGAAGCTGTGAATTGGTCCAACGGTTCTGGAAAATAATTTGGAATCATGCAAGAATAATGACTAAACTGTTCATACCCTTTGACCTAATGATCTCAACTGTTAAGCATATACCCCAAAGAGGTCAAAGACAGAAAGAAAGGGCCTATATATGCCAAAATATTTATAGCAGCATGCTTTGTGGTATTGAAGCAACAAAGTGGGTACTGACTAGGAAAGGGTGGAAGAAATCATGGCATATGGCTGTAATGGAATATTATTGTGTGGTAAGAAACATGCATATGAAGAATTCAGAGAAAATTGGAAAAACTTTTAGCAACTGCTGCTGAATGAAATAAGCAGAACCAAGAGAACAATACTATAATAACAATAACTATATTAACAAAACAAAACAAAAAAACAGCACTAAAAAGCAGCTGTACTCCAACGAATTGTAATGACTAATCTTGGTTCCAGAGAACAAATGATGAGTCATACCTCTTTCTGACCAGTTAAGAGGTGAAGGACTAACTGTGTGGAAGATGACATACCACTGACAGCTGGGGTCTCTTTGTCCATGGGCCTTGCCTACATCCTTTCTTTGTTACAGGAAGGACTATCAGGCAGAAATGACTGTGGTGCTAAAACAGAAGGCATCAATAAAACCTGAGTTAAAGCAATAGAAATAGATACTTATAGAAAAAGTGGGGAAGACATACAGAGGTCAGGAAGACAGAATCATCTCTGGTAGTGCTGTCCATTTCTGAACCTTTATTATTGTAAGGACCTTGAAGGTGAGTTTTTGTTCTTTACTCGTTCAGTCATGTCCAACTCTTTGTGATCCCATGGACCATACTGTCCATGGGGTTTTCTTGGCAAAGATCCTGGAGCAGTTTGCTATTTCCTTCATTAATGAGGGTGAGAGAGCCATCTTATTTTTCTTTATATCTCCCCTGGGCCCCATACTACACTTTGCATGTGATCAATATTTTTTGAATCAATGAAAAGGTGAAATAAAGTTCAGAATCATCATTTCTCCCAAATTAATTTCAGTTTCTGTTTTGGCCCATATTCCATGAATGATTATTAATTTTGAGTCATTTAAGCTGGAATAGGGTGAAAGGCTCATCACCAAAAGTTTGGCTGCAAGGTGATAAATTTATTTTTTCCCTGTGGTGACTCATGAAAGGACATTGTGATTTACAGAGAAGTCATTCCATACTCTAGCACCTGGCTAGGATGAAAACCTGAAAGGGAGAGGAAAGGAAGATTGTTAGTTCTTGATTCAGTGGGGCTGCCTTTAATGCCCGGGGCCATTAACCCTTAATTTCCCTCTAACTCTTCCCATTTCCCTGAAGCCAGTTTGTAAGGAATATGTACAGCACTAATGAAAATATACCATCTGGACAGTGATTCTAGGTCCCTGTCTCAGTTGCTACTAGATCTAGCGCTCTCTATCTCCTGAAATTTGTATTTTCTCAAATGTATAGGCATCACTGTTTTCTACAGTAGTGGAATGTAAGCTCCTTGAGAGTAAGGATTGTTTTGGTCCTTGTGTCCTTAATGCTAGCACAATATTTAGTATATTGTAGGCACCTAAGAAATATTTGTGGAATTTGACTAATTAGAGATCTCTGCACTAAAAATCTGGGGACACCAATGCCCTTCCCTTCGAGGATTCTGAGATCTAACAACCTAATTAGCACCAGTTGACACCCTTCCTTCCCCTCCTCATCCCAGGGGTTACCCCTGCCTCCCTTTTCCTATCTTCTCTCCAATTTTTACCTGCTCTCTTACTTTCTGCACTCCCTGACTTTTGGTGTGTCCTCCCCCACTCCTGTCTGGAGCAGTTTTCAGTACTGGGCACCATGTTTTAGGAAGGACCTTGGATAAGTTGAAGAAGACCTGGAGAAAAGCCACCAGAATGATGAAGGACTCTTGAGATCATGGACCTAAGGATCAGTTGAAAGAATTGGGGGTATTCATCCTGTAAAAGAGAAAACTGGAGGTTGGGGGGGGCAGGCAGGGGGAGGCAATGCATGACGACTGTCTTTAAGTATTTAAAAAACAGCTGGGGAAAGATTAAACTTGTCCTGCTTGTCCTTAGGCGGCCAGAACAAGGAGCAATGGGTGGAAGTTTCAGAGAAAGGAAACACTAACAATACGAGCTATTCAAAAGGGGAATGGGCTCCCTCAGAAGCTGGAGTGTTTCCCTTCACCAGAGGTCTCCAGGCAAAGGCTGTTGGAGCACTTTTGTCAGTTACTTTGTAGAAGGGATTTTTTTTTTTGTCCTCGCTTACATTGGATCTCTCAGGTCTTTTCCAATTCGAAGATGCTGTCAATCTGCCCGATTTCATGGAAAGCTGGCTCTAAAAGGGACCTTAGAACTCCCCCTGCCTCCCTTTTCAAAAGGATACTTAGACCTGAAATGGTGGAGGATTCACCCAAGGTTATACACAGCTCGTTACAGAGCTGGGGCCAGCACTGGCCCCCAAGTCTCCCGGACTGGTAGGTCAGTCAGTGTTCTTTCCACAGTCACCCAAGTGATGCATGTGGAGGGGAATCTAGGGATAGGGGATAGCCTGGTACAGTGGAAAGAATACTGGTTCTTCAGTCAGAGTACCTAGGGTCAAACCCCACCTCGACACTCTCAAGCCATTTAATCTCTCTGGTGCCCAGTTTTCTCATCCCTAAAATGAGGGACTGGCTGAGGTTGGTTGGATTAGATGTTCTCTGAGGTTCCTTCCAATTCTACTTACAGTGAAAAAGGTTCTCTCCCACCAAAGCCTCACTATAAGTAATATACGACATAAGGAGAAGCAGCATGACCTAATGGATAGAAAGCTGGCCTTGAAGCCACGAATATCTGGGTTTAAGCTCCCATCTCTTGTCCCATGCTGGCATACTGTGGGATCCTAGGTAAGTGATTTAAACTTTCAGTGCTTATCTTGAGGCAGTCTCAAAGTTGCGGGAAGTTACCGGGGAGTTTTTCCACATCTAGGAGTTCCCTAGACCAATGAAATCACAAGTCCTGTGTCATTTCTATTCCTACAATCACACAAAGCCCCTGCCTCCATTTCATGCTTACTCCTCTGCTCTTAGAGAGCTTTGAATTTCAGACCCCTTGCCTTGGAGGGTCTCCTTCTCGGGTGGTCTCTAACACACGTCTAGTTCCAAAATGTCTTGGGGGTGCTGGTGTAGGTGAAAGTTACATTGTTTAAAAGCTTCATTTATTTCCATCATCAGCATCATTCCAAGCCTGGTGGTGTAAATAGGGAGTCCCCGGGAGGGTAGGGGATGGAGGAGAGGCCAGCCAGACTGCCTCCACCCCCACCTCCCCACACCCCCCAGCCGGGGCCAGGCTCTTCCCCTGCCCTCTCCCCGCCCCCTCTGTGTCTAGGTCGGGCTTGGGGGAGCTGGGGCCGAAGCTGCCCGCCCCACCGCTCGAGTGATGTCAACCTCTAGGAGGAGCTGGGCCGGGGCCCTGGAGGGCTCCGGCTAATTAGCATGTAGCTGAAGCCGGGGCCGCCTTTCCTCCGCTCCTGCGCTCGCCTCGCCTCGGCCCCTCGCTTGTCCTGCTGCTGTCTGGGATAACTTTTGAAGCGGGAACGGTCCCTTGTTCCCCACTGCAGCTCTTCCCTCTTCCCCGGACCGCACCTCCCTCCCCCCTCGCTTCCCTGCATCGTTCTCCCTTTCTTTCTCTCGCACACATACACACACACCCGGACATACACACACACACACACACACACACACACACACACACGGTCGCTCGCACACATACACACACGCGAGTACACACGCCCCCGCCCCTGCCTCTGCCCCAGCCCCAGGCCGGTTCGGCTGGGCATGTGAGGCTTGGGCTCCGGGATCATGGCCACGCCGTGCGCTCTGCTCTGGCCGCGGCTGCCTCCGCTCCTGCCGCTGCTACTGCTGCTGCTGCTTGGGGTCTCCCAGACTCGGGGCTCGCCGCCCTTGCTGGTGCCCACCGCCTCCCCCCGGGGCCAGCTAAGCGGAGCTCCCCTCCCGGCCACGGAGCTGGAACCAGAGCGGGAGCCGGAGCCGGAGCCAGGCCCCCCTCTCGGGCTTCCGCCGCCTCTGCTGCCTGTGTCCTGGGAGCAGGAGAACAGCACCCGGGCCCCAGCGTCCCCTGGCCCCCTCGACCCTCCTCCCCGCCGAGGGGCTGCGACGCAGCGGGGAACGCTCCGCCAAGCCCCCGGGGGCCGGAGCGCGACCACGGGTGAGTGAGGGAGCGCAAGGGCATCAGCGGGCTCCGGGCTTCAGCTTCTTTACTAATGTTTGGGTTCCCGGGGGGAGCGGACGCAAGGAAGCGGGAGATTGGCGGGGGACGTCCGCTCGCATCTCCGGGACCTCTTCTCACTTAACTCTGGGTGCAGCAGGTTGCATCCTGGGCAGGAGAGCCCAAGGTCACACAAGCAGAGTTCATTACAGCTGTGTCAGGACTAGTCCGGCAGGTCCCAGGATTGGGAAGTGGACGCTGAGGAATTCCCTCCTCTGTGCCCCCCCCCTTTGCTCCGGAGTACATTGGGACAGTGGACCCTGGTGAGGTTAGGGTTGCTTAACCTTCTTAGACTGCTCTTGGATGGAAGTGGCTAGGTAAAATAATCTGCCCAGGGTGGGTGCCACCTCTTGCTCCCAGAAGCTGGGAAGAAAGCTGGGAGGAGGCTTGTTCTCTCCTGTACATGTCCTATTTGGCGCTCATTGTTCAATCTTTCACCTACCTCCAAGGCCACTGCCCTTAACTCACAGACCGCTTGAGTTTTTCTAACCAGATACAGTTTACAACTGATCCTTTTGAACTTGTCTCTCTAGGTGGTTTTAAACTCAGATGTTCTATGTTGCTGGCATGTTACTACTTCCAAATTTTAATAGATGAGATTACTGGAGTTTGAGCACTGAACTTGTTTTGTTTTAAAAGGGTACAATTGTTAAAATCAGTCATCCAACATTTCTCCCCCCTTAAAAAAGAAATATATGTATGTGTGTGTGTATATATGTGTGTGTGTGTGTGTATGTATACACACACTATACATACACACACATATATTTTCTTACTAGCTAACTAAGAGATTAGAGGAATTAAGAAAGGGTTGAAAGATTGAGGTTGATCAAAATAACTCTGTCGTCATAGGGGGATTATATCTACTTTGAGCCTTCTCCATTAGCCATCCATCCTTTCCAAACTCTACTTCTTAGAGATTGCTTATCAGCCCGAGAACCATGTAGTTGGAAGAGATCTCAGAGGTCCTCTTGTTCAGTCCTTACCTGGACAAGAATTTCTGCTAAAGCATACATGATTGACTTTCCCTTCTTCCTACTTTCTGCTGTTTATCTACTTCCTTCCTCTATCTGGTGTAAAAATCTGACAGTCATGATTCTTGGGTTCTGTTGATGACCTGTCCTTTGAGATTGTCATTTCCTTTCTCCTCCCCAGTTAATTTCAGTTTCTTCATTGGTGAAATAATATACCTTTGCCTTCCTTGCCCACAAAGGACTGATAAAAGTGGGTGGGAGGTGCTTTGAAAAGGATGCAAGGGGTAGTAGCTACCTAAGCTTACTCAACTTTCCTGACCTAAGTATCCTTCCTGTAAGTGACACATCTCTTATTTTTATGTAGCATTTGGTGAATGATTGAAATACTTGCTATAACACTGGGACCCTTTTAGAGATGGAAAGAGCTTGATTTGTCTGACGGAGAGCTCATTTCTCACTCAACATAAACTTTGGGGGTTTACCTGACCAAGGCTATATAGATCCTGCCTTGAATTAAATAATAACAGCAGTATTTCTTTTTTAATTGCTGGGCCCTCAGCAAGAACTCTCCTCTGCCTTAGTCACTGCAATGTATCCTGTTATATGAGAAGTAGTATAGTATGGTGAGTAGAGCCCTGGACTTGTATTTAGAAGACCAGAGTTTGAGGCTTGCCTCCAGCATTCATCTACCTGCTATAATCACAGAATCACAGAATTTCAGAGATGGAAATCTAGTCCAACCCACCATTTTTGAGTTCCCTTTACAGCACACCTGACAAGTGGTCACCCAGCCTTTCCTCCAATGAAAGAGAATCTCCCACTTCCTTAGGCTGCCCACTTTTTGACAACTGATTGTCAGGGACATTTCTCTTACACCAAGTCTAAAGTTACCTCTTTCCAACTCCCACCCCTTACTCCTAGTTTTACTTTCTGGGGCCAGAACAGAGCAAGTATAAATCCATCCTGTAGCACTAGGTGATAGCCCTTCCAATTCTACAAGACTGTTATGTCTGCCCAGATAAACATGAGAATGGGCAGGGAGGAAATGGAGATCCACTGAGCCCTTCATGAAACATCAGTCCACTTCTCTTCATATTGCCTTCCTTGGTAATCTCAACAGCTCCTGTGGCTTCAGTTTTCACCCATAGGCTTATCCTTCCCAAATCTAGATGCCCAGAACCTGAGCTCTACTTTGGTATTTCCATCTGCCTACTGAATAGTTTACCCAAATATCCTTGCAACATTTCAAACTTAATAGATACAAAATTAAACTCATTATCTTCTCCCTCAAATCTGCTCCTTGGTCCAACTTTTACATTTTTATTTTAGTGATACCATCATCCGCTCAGTTATTGAGGCTCAAAACCTTGGGGCCATCTTTGACTCTTCCCTTTCACTTAAACCCCTCATATCTTATCAATTGCCAAAGCTTGTCAGTTCTGTCCCAGATATATTTCTTATGTGTATCCTCTCCTTTCCATTCACAATGCTACCACCCTAGGCTAGATTCCATATGGACTATCTGTATGACCTTGGGCAAGTCACTTAACCTCTCAGCGCCTCAGTTTCTTTATATATAAAATGAGAGTGTTGGACGAGATGACTTGCAGGTTTCCTGTCAGCTCTAAATCTATGATTTTGTGATCTTCTTACTGTTTTAAAAACCTTTTGACTGTTCTTCATGATTTCTAGGCTCCCTCTAGTTCACCTTCACATAGTTGCCAAAGTAACCACTCTATTATGATTCTTTTGTTCCCCCAGGTCAGTAATGTCCTTCTCCCCTTGGCCCTCACACATTATTTTTGTTTTGAACCTCTCTAATTCACTTATCATGTAATATCATGTATTGTGGTCATCTGCATTTGGGTCTTATCTCCTTAGTAGAATGTAAGCTCCATGAAGGTAGGGACCTTGTGTTATCTAAACTTCGTAACTCCCTAGTGGTTAGGCACAGTGCTTTGTATACTGTTGGTGCCAAACCAATGTTTATTGAATGAAGGTAGGATTTGGAGATCTGCCTCTTGGTGTAGACCCATGGCTTAAGTGTGTTTTGTGCACATGGGTGATGAGATACGTTGTGTGCCTAGATAGTTTGCTTTGACTGAACACTGTTTCCTAGTTTGAAGCATTTAAGATTATGGTTTGGGAGTTTCAAGTTAAAGTTTCATGGTTGAAGAAAAATGAATGGCTCTTTTTGGGAAGAGAAACCAAACCCTGTCATCAATCTGGACAATTTACTTTTGTAGTGTCCCAACAAAAACCTGCTGTTCTCACAATTGGAGGCTAAACCTTAGAGGCTCATGGTCAGAAAGGTGAGTTCAGGAAGGAGAGGAGTGGGTAAAGCATGGGCTTTGGAAGCAGAAAACCTGGGTTTAAATCCTGGCTCCACTTTCCACCTGGGTGACTTGTCTATACAAGTCCCAACTTTTCTGGTTGTAATTTTTCTTATCTATAAAATAAGGGGGTTCACCTATGAAGAGGCAGCTAGTGGCACACTGGAGAGTGTGCTGGGCCTGGAGTCAGGAAGACCTGAGTTAAAAGCTGACCTCAGATACTTACTAGCTGCGTGAGCCTGGGTAAGTCATTTAACTGCTATTTGCCATAGTTTCCTCAGCTGTAAAATGAAGCTAGCAATAGCACCTACTTCCTAGGGCTGCTGTGAGGATCACATATGATAAGAATGTTTGTAAAGCACTTAGTTAGCATAATGCCAGGAACATAGCAGGCACTATAGAAATATTAGTTATATTATTATATCCATCATATACATACAAATATATTTATCTCTCTCATTAGAATATTAGCTCTTTGAGGACAGGAACTGTATTTTTGCCTTTCTTTGTATCCTTGGTGCTTAGAAAAGTGCCTGGCATACAGTAGATGCTTACTAAGTGCTTATTGACTGACTGAAAACTGCTAGAAGTTATGGATGAGTTTGGCAAAGTATAGAAAACCTGTGCTTGTTTTCAGTATCTTAAGGTAGGTTCAATTAGTGCCATTTTAAAATCTGTCTTGGATGATTTCAGCCCTCATGAATGACCTAGGGAACTGCTGGTGAGTTTCTTTGCGGATTGGAGCTCTTTGTACCAACTCCACCTGGATCACTGGAAGGGGTGGTTTATGAAGGCACCCTATGAGATCTTCCAATTTAACTTCCAGACCAACTTAGGAGCCCCTTTGACAGTGTCTCTGATGGATGATCGCTTGGTTATGCTTGAATTTGTTCATGCAGTCTGGTGATTTCGCAGTTGATCTGTCCTGCCATGGGTAAGAGATTTGGTGGAGGATGAATCTTAAAGCTGGGTCTTACAATAATGCCTTTTACTTTGCTGGCCTAGGAACTGTAAGGTGGTGCCTATCAAACAGTGCCTGTCACACAGTAGGTGCTTAATAAAGGCTTGATGGACCCATTGTCAATATTGTCCAAAGTCTGTGCAGTAGAGGATGCTAGCTTTTAGGCCTGTTCATACAGTAGGTGCTTAATAAAGGCTTGATTGACTGTCAGTTTTATCTTCAGTGTATGCAGCATAGGATGCTAATTTTTAAGCCTTCTAGGCTTTGTCTCTGAAGATGATTTAAGCATGGACTAGCTCAAAGGCAGGGCCTGGACCAGCTGGTGTTTGCAGTCCCTTCTGCTATGTTCCCTCTATTGTAAAATGAAGGGATTGGAATATATGATCTCTAAGATCTCTTACAGATGGAAAATTATTCATAGAATAATAGATTTAAAATTAGAACAGACCTTAGCTGTCATATAGTCATTTTACAGATGAGAAAACTGAAGCCAAGAAAGGCTAAATGACTTACCTAGGGTCACACAGCTAGTTAGTTCCTGAGACAGTATTCAAACTCATGTCTTTCTGACTCCGAGTCCAATGCTCTACCCACTGCATCATTTAACATAGTACATATATATATAATCTCCTACATAGCCAATGTGACTAATTAGGATTTAGAGCAGAGCAT